AACTACATCACACGTCTCACACAACACCACACATCTTAAACTACATCACACTCACACCACACCACACATCTTAAACTACATCACACGTCTCACACCACACCACACATCTTAAACTACATCACACGTCTCACACCACACCACACATCTTAAACTACATCACACGTTCCACACCATACCACACATCTTAAACTACATCACACGTCTCACACCACACCATACACATCTTAAACTACATCACACGTCTCACACCACACCACACATCTTAAACTACATCACACATCATCTTAAACTACCACACACCACACATCTTAAACTACATCACACGTCTCACACCACACCACACATCTTAAACTACATCACACGTCTCACACAACACCACACATCTTAAACTACATCACACGTCTCACACCACACCACACATCTTAAACTACATCACACGTCTCACACCACACCACACATCTTAAACTACATCACACGTCTCACACCACACCACACATCTTAAACTACGTCACACGTCTCACACACACCACACATCTTAAACTGCATCACACGTCTCACACCACACCACACATCTTAAACTACATCACACGTCTCACACACACCACACATCTTACATGCATCACACGTCTCACACATCTTAAACTACATCACACGATCTACACACATACACACATCTTAAACTAAATCACACGTCTCACACACCACACATCTTAAACTACATCACACGTCTCACACACACATACACCACACATCTTAAACTACATCACACGTCTCACACACACACATCATCTTAAACTACATCACACGTCTTAAACACACATCTTAAACTACATCACACGTCTCACACCACACCACACATCTTAAACTACATCACACGTCTCACAACACCACACATCTTAAACTACATCACACGTCTTAAACTACATCACACACAAACACATCTTAAACTACATCACACGTCTCACACCACACCACCACATCTTAAACTACATCACACGTCTCCACACCACACACCACACATCTTAAACTACATCACACGTCTCACACCACACCACACATCTTAAACTCACACGTCACACCACACCACACATCTTAAACTACATCACACATCTTAAACACACATCATCACATCACACGTCACACCACACACACATCTTAAACTACATCACACGTCTCACACCACACCACACATCTTAAACTACATCACACGTCTCACACCACACCACACATCTTAAACTACATACGTCACACGTCTCACACCACACCACATCTTAAACTACATCACACGTCCACACACATCTTACACACATCACATCTTAAACTACACCACATCTTCTCATCACACACCACACACACCACACATCTTAAACTACATCACACGTCTCACACCACACCACACATCTTAAACTACATCACACGACTCACACCACACCACACATCTTAAACTACATCACACGTCTCACACCACACCACACATCTTAAACTACATCACACGTCTCATACCCCACTGCGTCCCACCCACATCACAACATACCCCCACCCCACATCCAACGCCACACCTATTCCAAAATTGTGGGTGAGTATACAGACAGACCCCCACGAGTCAGCAGCGTGATGGTGAGGCGGGGATCATCATGGTATCTGTGTTCGTGAATATTGAAACGTTCGGCATGTGTGCACATAGAGATGAACATAACAGAATATGATGATGATATCAGCTGGTATTTGCCAGCCACAGGTTGACAGAGTGCGGTCGAGGCGGAGGTCACCTAGTGGGATGATGCAGCTCATACAGGGACGTCGTTATCTCCGCCGTCATAATGTGTTTGTAACGCGGTGTGACTGAAAGTACTCATGTTCCAGAAGCTGTTCCAGGGTTGAACCAGTACACCCATAAGCTGGTGGATTCCCTTGGCCAATGTGGTCGGCGTTAAACACATGTATTTCCAGGTGGCGGGTGACACAGTTGACGTGCCTGTAGCCACTGACCGTGAGATCGAATCCAACATTTGCCCGTGATATTATAAGCAATTTGTCAGAACCATCTCTTTCGTCGAAGTTGTAAACGTGAAGGAATTGCATAACGTTTTACTTAACCTTTATGGACCCGCCATGATATAAGTCCCTCACCTACCTCATTACCTCTTCTCACTCACTCATACACCCACTTATCTCCTCTGATGGCATTATTGTTCTACAGCTGGTGATTACCTCTTTTCACTCACTCATACACGACCCGTGAAGATCCGGGTTAGAATTGATCTTCAGTAACTCATGCTTGTCGCAAACAACGACTACCGGGATAGGGTTATCAGGCTCGCTGACTTGGTTGACACATGTCATCGGTCCCCAATAGCGCAGATCGATGCTCATGCTGTTGATTACTGGGTTGTCTGGTCAAGACTCGATTATTTACAGTACGTCGCTATATAGCTGGAATATTGCTGAGTGCGGCGTAAAACTAAACTCACTCACTCACTCACTCACTCACTCGCTCAATTATCTCTCCTGATGGCATTATTGTTCCAAAGCTGGTGATTATCTCTTCTCACGCACTCACTACACAGACTCTGCACAGACGCCCCTCTCTTCGCCCACTCCTCTTTCTCCCGACTCCAGATGATAGGTCTTTGATCGACTCGACGTTTGTCTGAAAATGTTGTTACAGAATGGATAAAAAAGTAAACGAAAGCAAGATTACTACATCAAACCTCTCCAGTGTGACGACATACATACCTGGGACATGTTTTGTCAACAGAACTCTGAGGTCATAAATCTTTGTCAGGACGCGGCAAGTCATGCAGTTCGTCAGGTGAGGTTTTAGCGAACAAACATCTTCATATGTGTCTCATTTGTACAGCAGTACAATGGACGCTGTCGTGTGTCAAGGGCGACATGTGTAGCCGTCATTGTGTAGGGATGGTGATGATGATGATGATGATGATGATGTAGATGATGATGGAGAAAGTGGACCTGTGTCATGTCGCCTGCCTCCCTCTCTGTCACACGGTACAGACCTGAATCCCAGCACAGTGCGCGTGGATGTCAAAACACAAATTACAGGTGGTCAGTGTACACTCGACCAGATGGTCGACAAGGTTCACCTTAGAGGTGGTCAGTGTACACTCGACCAGATGGTCGACAAAGTACACCTTAGAGGTGGTCAGTGTACACCCGACCAGATGGTCGACAAGGTACACCTTAGAGGTGGTCAGTGTACACTCGACCAGATGGTCGACAAGGTACACCTTAGAGGTGGTCAGTGTACACTCGACCAGATGGTCGACAAGGTACACAACAAAGTACACCTTAGAGGTGGTCAGTGTACACTCGACCAGATGGTCGACAAGGTACACCTTAGAGGTGGTCAGTGTACACTCGACCAGATGGTCGACAAGGTACACCTTAGAGGTGGTCAGTGTACACTGGACTAGATGGTCAACAAAGTACACCTTAGAGGTGGTCAGTGTACACTAGGACCAGATGGTCGACAAGGTACACCTTAGAGGTATGGTCAGTGTACGGTTGACCAGATGGTCAACAAGGTACACCTTAGAGGTAGTCAGTGTACACTAGACAAGATGGTCGACAAGGTACACCTTAGAGGTAGTCAGTGTACGTTAGACAAGATGGTCGACAAGGTACACCTTAGAGGTAGTCAGTGTACGTTAGACAAGATGGTCGACAAGGTACACCTTAGAGATAGTCTTTGTACGTTAGACAAGATGGTCGACAAGGTACACCTTAGAGGTAGTCAGTGTACGGTAGATAAGATGGTCGACCCGATACACCTGAGCAGTGAGTTTTAGATTTGTAATATAGGTTTGAACGTCGTTGCTGTAACGTCGTGTGGTTTGTCTCGAATGTTCTGTTTCACCTATAACATGTCACTGTGATCACAAGTTGATGTGTTTCTATAACGCCGTTCAGAGTGGCTCGCAACCCATCCCAGAGAGGCCGTTAACCTTAAGTGGCTGTGTGAACTGATTTCACTGATTCAAAGGTTTGATGTGCCTAACCGTATGTTTGTCCATTATTGAAGAGTTAACTTAAAACCTTATAATAACCTCAAATTGGAGGTTTTACATGTTGTAAAACCCGGTTAGATGTTTTACTTTTTGAATAAAGACACCTAACCGGGTTTTACCAGTAGTAAAACCTGAAAAAAGTTAAAATAACAACTTTCTTCCGATTTTTATTTAATGATTAACTACTTTAAGTTGAGAGTAACATGAAAGTCTTGTGTGAGTCAGTTGATGGGATTTCTGGTTGTTAACGAGCCTCTCCAGCAGAACATCCTGGCTGTGGGTCGGTCTTTGTAACCATGGTTACGGCGGTTTGCGGGTGGGTCTCGGCTAAAGCCCTCGGGGTGTTTCCCTCCCTTGAGTTTTTTTTAATACAATAAGATTCATGTAGCAGGGACACACTAGTGTAGGCTGCATGGGTTACCGCCATTAGACATCCACACAACCACACCACATGTGCTGACACCAATATTGTAATTACTGGAAACATTATCGTCATTATTTGGCCCACTGTGAAATTAAGTTGTCATACTGTCATGGTGCTAGGGTTGCGATGAAAATAATTACAGCGAATTGAAATAACTATCCCGACATATTATAGCATATTGTATGCATCCAACCTTACCTGCCTTCTCCCATCCAACCTTCCCCGCCCTGTCCCATCCAACCTACAATGTCTTGTCCAATCAATCCTTCTCCGCCTTGTCCCATCAAACCTTCCCTGCCTTGACCCATCCAACCTTCCCCGCCTTGTCCCATCCAACCTTCCCCGCATTCTCCCATCCAACCTTCCCCGCCTTGTCCCATCCAACCTACAATGTCTTGTCCCATCCAACCTACAATGTCTTGTCCAATCAATCCTTCTCCGCCTTGTCCCATCCAACCTTCCCCGTCTTGTCCCATCCATCCTTCCCCGCCTTGTCCCATCTAACCTTCCCCGCATTCTCCCATCCAACCTTCCCCGCCTTGTCCCATTTAACCTTCCCCGCCTTGTTCCATCCAACTTTCCCCGCATTCTCCCATCCAACCTTTCCCCGTCTTGTCCCATCCATCCTTCCCCACCTTGTCCCATCTAACCTTCCCCGCATTCTCCCATCCAACCTTCCCCGCCTTGTCCCATCTAACCTTCCCCGTCTTGTTCCATCCAACTTTCCCCGCATTCTCCCATCCAACCTTCCCCGCCTTGTCCCATCCAACCTTCCCTCTCTTGTCCCTTCCAAACTTCCCCGCCCTGTCCCATCCAACCTTCCCCCTCTTGTCCCATCCATCCTTCCCCGCCTTTTAACATCCAACCTTCCCCGCTTTGTCAAATCCAAACTTCCCCGCCCTGTCCAATCCAACCTTTCCCGCCTTGTCCCATCCAACCTTCCCCACCTTGTCCCATACAACCTTCCCCACCTTTGTCCATCCATCCTTCCCCGCTTTGTCCCATCCAATTTTCCACGCCTTGCCCAATCCAACCTTCCCCGCCTTGTCCCATCCAACATTCCCCGCCCTGTTCCAACCACCTTCCCCCTTCTTGTCCCATGCACCTTTACCCGCCCTCTACCATCCAACCTTCCCCACCCTGTCCCATCCAACCTTCCCTGCCTTGTGCCATCCAACCTTCCCAGCTCTGTACTATCCAACTTTCCCCGCCCTGTAACATCCAACCTTCTCTCTCTTGTCCCATAGAACCTTCCCTGTCTTGTCCCAACCAGCCTTCCCCGCTCTGTCCCATCCAACCTTCCCTGTCTTGTCCTGTCTTGTCCCACCCAACCTTGTCCCATACAGCCTCCCCTTGTCTTTGTCCCACCCCAACCTTCACCGCTCTGTCCCATCCAACCTTCCCTGTATTGTCCCACCCAACCTTCCCCCCACCCTGTCCCATCCAACCTTCCCCTGACTTTGTCCCATCCAACCTTTCTCCACTCTCCCCATCCAACCTTCCCTGCCTGTCCCATCCAACCTCCCCCCTGTCTTGTCCCATCTAACCTTCTCCGTCATGTCCCATCACACCTTCCCAGCCCTGTCCCATTCAACCTTCCCCACCTTGTCCCATACAACCTTCCCCACCTTGTCCTATCCATCCTTCCCCGCTTTGTCCCATCCAATTTTCCACGCCTTGCCCAATCCAATCTTCCCCGCCTTGTCCCATCCAACATTCCCCCCTGCCCTGTTCCAACCACCTTGCCCAATCCCCTTCTTTGTCCCATGCACCTTTACCCGCCCTCTACCATCCAACCTTCCCCACCCTGTCCCATCCAACCTTCCCTGCCTTGTGCCATCCAACCTTCCCAGCTCTGTACTATCCAACTTTCCCCGCCCTGTAACATCCAACCTTCTCTCTCTTGTCCCATAGAACCTTCCCTGTCTTGTCCCAACCAGCCTTCCCCGCTCTGTCCCATCCAACCTTCCCTGTCTTTTCCCATACAGCCTTCCTTGTCTTGTCCCACCCAACCTTCACCGCTCTGTCCTATCCAACCTTCCCTGTATTGTCCCACCCAACCTTCCCCACCCTGTCCCATCCAACCTTCCCCGACTTGTCCCATCCAACCTTCTCCACTCTCTCCCATCCAACCTTCCCCGCTCTGTCCCATCCAACCTTCCCTGTCTTGTCCCATCTAACCTTCTCCGTCATGTCCCATCACACCTTCCCAGCCCTGTCCCATTCAACCTTCCCTGTCGAATCCCATCCAACCTTCCCAGCTCTGTACCATCCAGCCTTCTCCGCCCTGTAACATCCAACCTTCTCTCTCTTGTCCCATACAACCTTCCCTGTCTTGTCCCTGCCCAACCTTTCCCTCCCCGTCCCCCTGTCCCATCCAGCCTCCCCTGTCTTGTCCCATCCAACCTTCCCGCCCTGCCTCTATCCCATCCACCCTTCCCTGTCGAATCCCATCCAACCTTCCCGCCCTGTCCCATCCAACGTGCTCCGCCCTGTCTTGTCCCATCTAACCTTCTCCGCCATGTCCCATCACACCTTCCCAGCCCTGTCCCATTCAACCTTCCCTGTCTTGTCCCATCCAACATTCCCCGCTCTCTCCCATCCAAACTTCTCCGCCTTGTCCCATCCAACCTTCCCCGCCCTGTCCCATCAAACCTTCCCTGTCTTATCCCATCCAACCTTCTCCACCTTGTCCCATCCAAATTTCTCGGCCCTCTCGCATCCAACCTTCTCCACCTTGTCCCATCCAAACTTCTCCGCTCTGTCCCATCCACCCTTCCCTGCCTTGTGCCATCCACCCTTCCCTGTCGAATCCCATCCAACCTTCCCCGCCCTGTCTCATCCAACCTCCCCTGTCTTGTCCCAGCCAACCTTCCCCGGCCTATCCCATCCGGCCTTCCCTGTCGAATCCCATCCAACCTTCCCAGCTCTGTACCATCCAGCCTTCTCCGCCCTGTAACATCCAACCTTCTCTCTCTTGTCCCATACAACCTTCCCTGTCTTGTCCCGCCCAACCTTCCCCGCCCTGTCCCATCCAGCCTCCCCTGTCTTGTCCCATCCAACCTTCCCCGCCCTATCCCATCCAACCTTCCCTGTCGAATCCCATCCAACCTTCCCCGCCCTGTCCCATCCAGCCTTCCCCTGTCTTGTCCCACCCAACCTTCCCCGCCCTGTCCCATCCAACCTTCCCTGTCTTGTCCCACCCAACCTTCCCCGCCCTGTCCCATCCAACCTTCCCCTGTCTTGTCCCACCCAACCTTCCCCGCCCTGTCCCATCCAACCTTCCTTGTCTTGTCCCACCCAACCTTCCCTGCCCTGTCCCATCCAACGTGCTCCGTCCTGTCCCACCCACTCTTCCCCTTTTTGGCCCCTGAAACCACGTTTGTCATATCATTTTGCTGTTTGAATACAAGGTCCTGGGATTGTTATTGCGAAGTAACTGAGCAGAACCAGCTTGAGGACGGATTGGTGCCTTACCTGTTTGCGGAGAGTAGCACAAAACACATCATTACTGACATTTTAGAGTAAATTAGTATTTTAGTCTATTACTAATTTCGGATTTTTATCTTCTCTTTTCAACAAAGGACAATTTGACCAACATGATGTTGTTGATCCTAAAGGCGCAACCTTTTCGACTAACTCCGTCGACCAAGGGCAAAATATTTATAAAGCATACTATTCACACTTTGCTAAGGATCAGATCATTGATTCAACAAAGAACTATGATGTGGGGTCTAATTTGGTTTAAATATCTAAGCTTAATGTAAGCATGGATCCTAGGTTTCAGTATGTCACTGCATCTTGTGGATCCCATACCTGCTATTAACAAGTGTTGTGTACTCGTTCCATGATTTGGAAAATGGTTAGTTGGTGAAATGAAAACCCTTCTCATAGTAACCCATGTATCAAGTGCATAAGGTTAGATTAAAGTGGCTGTTTGTCTAAAGAATGGTTACCATATTATTATTTATCCAGTTTTAAATCGATACAATTTCAAATTAGAAATATATGTTTAAGTAAAGTTGGGAATTTCTTCTATATTTGGGAGTAGTATAGTTACCAACAGTGAGGGTGATTCTACTTAAGGTGTAGTCAGGCGCGTAGTGGGATTATCTGGATGATGATTACTTAACACAAACAGTTAAGACCATATAAAGGCTAAGTGATAACATCGGGCGTCGCAGATCATCATACATTCCCCATGAAGCACCCAGCAGACATGCTTGTATTGATGAGCTGTTTGATCATGTGTGCGTACAACATAGTCTTGCATGAGTTTATATGCTGGGGTGGGTTGTTTATAGGGGAAGGTTGGGGGAAGGGGCAGTGTCAGACTTACAGATTTCCATTACATAATAGAGGGCAAAAATCAAAGACTATAGAGGTCTAAACATTACACCTTCTGATTATTTAAGAAATACAGTTCGCTCTACCACCATGTATAGTGTAATAAAGCACCCTTTCGCCCTGAACTATTATAGTTAAAGTACATTTAAGAAATACAGTTCGCTCTACCACCATGTATATAGTGTAATAAAACACACTTTCGCCCTGAACTATTATAGTTAAAGTACGAGGACGCTTGCGTCCGAGTGCGTTAACGTTATAAAAGTTCAGGGCGAAAGTGTGCTTTATTACACTATATATGGTGGAAGAGCGAACTGTATTTATTTTCTAAGATGCCAAATTTAATACTTTCTAAGGATAATTACGATTAATTTAAGGCAGAAAACAAACGACGGTGTCGGTGACCTAAATTAAGAATCCTCGCACAGGGCTGACAGGCGCGCTGTTCTATTGATGTGTCTGCACCCTACGTTAAGACGAACGTTGCCAGAAAAAAACAAATGATAACAGTTTGATGACGGTTTACGTTCGGATTAAATATCTTCTCTGAATTATTTTAATTACATCTGTCATTAGCGTAAACCATATGGGGCAATATGAACGTCGCATTTCTACTACCAACATAGGTTTAGGTCAGTACATCGAGATGAAGCTGAGTAGTCAAGCGACATTCCACGATTGCATTGTGGGATATAAGCATTACGAACGTTACCCTGTCGCTGAAAACTTGTGAGTCGAATTGACACATTTAACCGTCGTAAAACATAAATGTAATGTTTCCACCAGTGATGTTAGCTGCGTGAAGCAACTGCAAACCAAGAAACGGGATGCAACAGAGTAGTTTACTGTAGGAAGGCCGTACGAGGCGATGGCAACTGACATGCATCGTGACGTCGATTACATTGTGACGTAATGTGATATGGTTCGATTACGAGGGGGCACACTAGAATGGCGCAGTGACGGGATAACGTCATTCACTTGTTACGTCATCAAAAAACTATATCTTTATTGTCTGATGATGTACTTTTTTTTCGATTGTTCTAACCGCTAGGCATCTTAGAAATGATAATAGAACGTGTAAGCAATTTCTGTTTGAACTATGGGCCAGTAATCTTCAAAGATAACACCGTCCACACTAACTCTACCTTCGATGTGGCCCAGGTGAATCGCTGTTGAACAGTTCACCGTGTCAGTTTAGTTCCCACAATGTGCTGCCACCAACATATAGGCTATAATACATCTAGAAATGGTTTATGGTAATTCAGTTCAGATCAGTTCTAGAAAAAATATTGAATATGTATGTCCACGTCAAACCTGTTATTCATATAATGAACATTTTCGCCGGAACAAAGACCCTGTTATACCCAGTGCTGGTTTAGCGTCAGACCCCGTTGTGTTCATTCTAATTTACGTGCTCTGTCATCATTATCGGGTACTATTTCAAGTAACAGGAGGCAAGTCCACAAGGTGCACAGACATGAAGTTTGTATAATTCAACGCTATCAACAGTTCGAATGTCATGTCAGTAATCACCGAGTACATCTATATGCCGGTGGCCTGACTTTCTGTCCGTCTGACTGTCTGTCTGTTATTGTCTGCCTTTCTGTCTGTCTGACGTTCATCCTTTCTGACTTTCAGTCTCTGCCAGTCTGACTTTCTGTCTCTGTTTCGCTGTCTGTCTGATTTTCTGTCTGTCTGTCTGTCTGGAGTTCTGCCTCTCTGACTTCCTCTCCCTCTCTTTCTGTCTGTCTGTCTGACTTCCTGTCTCTGTCTGTCTGACTTTCTGACTCACTGTCTGTTGCTTCGTATCTCTTTCTGTCTGACTTTCTATCTCTCTCTGCCTTCCTGTCTCTGTCTGTCTGACGTTCTTCCTTTCTGATTTTCAGTCTCTGTCTGTCTCACTTTCTGTCTCTGTCTCTCTATCTGTCTAACTTCCTGTTTCTGTCTGTCCGACTCCCTCTCTCTCTCTCTCTGTCTCTCTGACCTTCTGTCTCAGCCTGTCTGACTTTCCGTCTCACTGTCTTTCTGGCTTCCTGTTTCTTTCTGTCTGACTTTCTGTTTGTCTGACTTTCTGTTTGTCTGTCTGTCTGACTTTCTGTCTCTGTCTGTCTGACTTCCTGTTTCTGTCTGTCTGACTTCCTGTTTCTGTCTGTCTGACTTTCTGTCTTTCACTTTGTCTGACTTTCTGTCTCTGTCTGACTTTCCCTGTCTGATTTTCTGCCTCTGTCCGTCTGACTTTGTCTTTGTCTGTTAGTCTGTTTCACTGTCTCAATCTGTTTCTCTGTTTGCCATTCAATTTATCTGTCTGTTAGTCTGTTTGTCAGTCTGTTTCTTGTGTGTTACTCTGTGTGTTTGTCTCTGTGTATGAGTCTATCGCTGTGTGTCTCTGTTGTCTGTTTGTTTGTCTCTGTGTATGAGTCTATCGCTGTGTGTCTCTGTTGTCTGTTTGTTTGTCTCTGTGTATGAGTCTATCGCTGTGTGTCAATCTATCGCTGTGTATCTCTGTTGTCTGTTTGTTTGTCTCTGTGTATGAGTCTATCGCTGTGTGTCTGTTTGTGTATCTCTGTTGTCTGCCGGTCCCTCTGCATGCCTCCCTGAGATATCAATAAAGAAGAACAATTTCAAGTAGACATTACGTGCACCTAACATATGTTACCCAGTTCACTGTTACCAGAGTGTACACCATGCTGGCACATCAACATTTATCGCGATCCAGCCGTACACGCTATAAATATACACCAATGATTTTTCATTATGTGGGTATTACAATGTAACCTCTGTCAGTCCTACTGTAGTCTGCAGAACATATTCACAACTGGTAATAGACGTGACACATGAGCCAGTCG